GCTTTTTTTTAGTTTCTTTTCTTAAAGTAGGAATTAGAAGTGGGAGTGGCAAGCTCTCTGTAACAGGATGTTTGGGTAGAACAGAGATGCTATGCTGTACATTGTAGAATCGGGAAGGAGTGCTGCTATCAGTTTGATCAGCTGAAAGCTAGGGTTTCAGGGTGCTGGTTTGTCTCTCCAGCTCAGATCTCTTGGTACCAGGAGAAACCAGGTGGCTATCACATCATTGTACCTCTGGCCCATGAGTGAGTCCTCAATCTCCTTTTGTAACCCGTAGACACCTTCAATTCAATCCACTGGGGGTCATCATAGGAAGTGACTCCACATATGGCTTTAGGTCTTCTTGTTTCATGGCCCACATTCCTCATGCAAGTCTCAGGATTTTCTCTAAAGTGCTTCTCTTGCTGGAGTCAAGAATGAGAATTTTCTTCAGCATGTTTGCACACTCCACAGACATGTAGATGGAATACTGTATTTGTCCTTCAGTATTTGCTCCTGCAGCTCCTTGAAGTTCTTTCCAACAAAAGGCAGGAATCTGCTCACTAGTGTATACAGGATGACTCCCAGGCTGTACACATCCAAGGTGGGTCCATTGTACTTTTCTCCCCAGAAGAGTTCTGGGACAGAATAAGGGGGGCTGCCACAGACAATATCCAGCTTGTTACTGATGTTAAATTCATTGCTGAAGCCAAACTCTGCAAGTTCTATGATCATATCCACATCCAAGAGCAAGTTTTCTGCCTTTAGGTCTTTATGAACAATACCTTTTGGTGACAGTACTACTCAGCAGACACTATCTGTAGGAATATTGCTTGGGCCTCTTTTTTCCCCATACTTCCTTGGGCTACTAGCTGATCAAACACCTCTCCTCCAGTAGCATACTCTATGACTATGTAGAATGCGTTCTCATTTTCAGTCACTTCATACAACTTCACAATGTTGGGTTGATTGAGAGCCATCATGATTTTTACATCACGGGATAGTCTGTGGAGGCTAGAGGAGGTCTGCTAATGAGGATATGCCAGTCCAGCTTCACCTTGGTGAAGGTCCCCTTGCCAAGGGTTCTGAGGAGGCAGTAGTCTGCCACATGAGTCTCCTCAGCACATAGGGCTGAGAGGCCTGTAACACGTTGGACTTGGTGTTAAATCCTGCTGGGCCTGGGACTGAGGTGTTCTAAGAAAAGACAAGAAATGGAAAAGGCAGGTGGCTAAATACTTAATAAAAAGTAAGGAAAAATAAAAAGAATATTAATTTTTAAAAAGAGTGACATGAGAAAATACAATGTATATAAAAGTAAATATAAGGGAATAAGTAAAAGTGAAAAAAATGAGAAAAGGAATGAGGAAAAGAATAAAATGAGAAAAAGAAAGAATACAGAAAGAAGTTAAAGTAAAAAAAATTATGCAAACAAAGGTAAGTTAATAAGTGAGACAGAGAAAAGGAGGGAAAAGAAAAGAAGAATAAAATAGAAAAAGTAAAAATTATTAAAAATAAATTTAAAAATAAAAATAAAAAATAAAATATAAAAAAGCAAGTAAAGAGGGAAAAATTTAAATAGAAAAGAGAGAGAAGATAATTAAGAAAATAGTCAAAGAACCCAAAATGTCAATAGGAAAGAAATTAAGTTCAGTCACAGTCTGTCAGGTCACTGAAAACCAACTTCCTGAGCTAGAAGGACCACCAAACCTAGATAGCAAGGGACTTATATAGTAGCTTGGAATGACAAAACAATGTCTCCTTATGAAGTCATATCAAGAGATGGACCAATCAAGACTGGATATAATTCACAGTGATTTTCTCACTTTTTGGTCTCAAGAGCCCTTTACTCATTAAATAGAAATTATTGAAGACCCCAAAGAGCTTTTTATCTATGTGTATTATAGCTGTTGATATTTACCCTACCACAAATTGAAAATGTAGGATTCTTCAGTGGGCTTTTCATTTCTAGTTTGAAAAGTGATGTTTGGCTCTTAAACAGTTCATAATGTGTACACTTAACATATTCAATTCCTTTTTCCTTTAACCTCTGAACAATTGATTTCAAAATGACACTACAACTTGACTGGCATCATGATATTATTCGAAAATGTTCAGTTGCATAAGACAAATGTTTTTAACATCTATAAAGATAGCTTTCATCCTATTTTCACTTCTTATTGACAGTTTGGTCCAGTTCCTTTGGGATAGATTCCTCATTTCTAGGAGGCAGGGAACTCTCTATGTCTGTTTCAGTATCTTTCAATGTAGAGTTTGCAGCTATGGATTAAGAAAGCAAATCTTTTACCTTCTTGAGGTAACAATCATCATGATCCTATCCCTCTTATTGATCAAGGGGGACTAGGTGCTGGACAAGACACCAGAACATCAGGAGAGGGAACTGAGATGCCACTTGTTTTGGATTGAATTGTGGTCCCCCGGAGAGGGGCCCAGGGACATGGGGAAAAAGGCTAGGAACATGAGGTGGGATCCTAGAGACATAGGATTTGTCACAGAAGTTTGGAGAGGAGACAAGGAGACATGGAGAGGAAGGCCAGGGTTATGGAGAGGGGATCCAGGGACCTAGGATTGGTCTCAGGGACATAGGGGGCATGGGGACATGGGAAGGGACCAGGGATATGATGAGGAGCCCAGGGACATGGGGAGGGGGCCCCAGGAAATGGGGAAGGGACCCAAAGGAGGGGTCTCGGGGGTATGAGATTTGTCTTAGGAAGATGGGGAGACAGCATGAGGACATAGGCACAGAGCCCAGGGACACGGAGAAGGGACATGGGGAGGGGGCCCATGGACAAGATGAGGGGACACAGGGACACAAGGATGGGGCCAAGGCACATGTGGAAGCCTTTCAGGGACATAAGGAGGAGCCTCAGGGATATGGGGAGGAAGCCTAGGGTTATGGGCAGGGTACTCAGGGGGAGGAGCATGGGGATATGCGGAGGGGACCCAGAGATATGGTGAGGGGACCAAGGGACATGGAGAAGGGACTGGGGACATTGGGAGGGGGCCTAGGCACATGGGAAATGTACCCAGGGACATGGGGAGTGGGCCCAGGCACATGAGGATGAGCTCCATTTACATGAGCAAAGGTCCCAGAGACATGGAGGTTGGGCCCATCAGCATTGGGAGGGGTCCCAGGGACATGGGGAGGGGAACCAGGTAGATGAGGGGACTCAGGGATATGGGGAGGGTGCTAAGGGAAATGAGGAGAGGACATAGGGATATGGAGAGGGGACAAAGAGCATGGGGAGGGTTTCCAGGCACATGGGGCAGGGACCCAGGGATATGGAAAGGGGACCAAGGGACAAGGGGATACGGCCTGGGTCCATGAGGAGAGTGCTCAGGGACATAGGGAGGGTCCCCAGGGCTATTGGGAGGGGCCCAAGAAATGGGGATGGTACATGGGTCTGCGGAGACAGGGGCCTGTGTACATGAAGATGGGGCCCACGTACATGGAAAGGTGTCCCAGGGACCTGGAATTGATCCCAGGAAGATAGGGAGAGGGCATGGAGACATGAGGAGTGGATACAGGGACAGGGAAAGGAATCCTAGGGACATGGGGAGTGGCCCCAGGGACATTGGGGGAGTTCCAGGAACATAGGATTGCTCCCAGGACATGGAGAGTGAGATCAGGGATATGGGAAAGGCACCCAGGGACATGGGAATGGGACCCAGGTAAATGTGGCGGGGGTATGCAGATATGGGAAGTAGATCCAGGGACATGGGAGGGGCCCCAGGGATATGTGGAGTGGAGCCAGGTGCATGGTGAGGAGTCCCAGGGATGTGGGGAGGGAATCTAGGAACATGGGGTGGGGCTCAGTGACTGGGAAGAGGCCCCAGGGACATTTGAAGGGTGCCCCTAGGGATGGGAGGCCAGGACCCAGGGATAAGGGATTACTCCCAGGGACACGGGGAGTGAGCCCAGAGATATGGGGAGGGGACCCATGGATTTGGGGAGGTGGCCCCGGGGACATGGTGAGGGGTCCTGGGGATATTATGAGGGGGCCCTGGGGACATGGTTAGGGGCCCTGGAAGATGAGGAGTAGGCATGAGGATATGGGGGAGACCCAGGGAAATGGGCAGGGGGCCCAGGGACACTGGGAAAGAGCATGGAAACATGGGCAGTGGGCTTGTATACACGGGGAAGGGACCCAAGGAAATGAAGAGGGTCCCAGGGTCATGGAGAGGGGGCACAGGCACATGGAGAGTGGCCCCAGGGACATGGGATTGCTCCCAGAGAAATGGGGGGGGGACCCAGGGACATAGGGAGGAAGCCCATGGATGTGGTATGGGGCCCAGGAACATGTGACTGTGCCATGGGGACATGGGGTGGGGGCCCCCGGGAGGCAGGTCTGCACCCTTCCACCTTCTCCTTCTGGAACTTTCACGTTCCTCTGGACCTAGCTTCTCTTCAGTAAGTCAGAGAGCTCATTTTGGGGGTTTATTAAATTTCCCTCTTGTGCATTGCAGAGGCTTGTAGCTACTTGGCCTTGGGAATATCATTGAACTCCTCTGACCCTCTGTTTCTTCATCTATAGAAGGGAAGAGTAATTGCAAGCATAACAACACCATCCTCAGGGTTCCTGAATGTATTCAATAAAATTAAGGCTGCATGACCCACAGCAGGGAAACAGTCAATGCTGGAATGCATTATCATCATTCAGTAATTCCTCTACTCATTCAACAGATTTTTATTGAGCCCCTTGCATTTAAAACATTGGAACAAATTGGAATACTTAGAAATTAATATATTAATATAAATTAAAATTGAATTAAAAGTGGCAGTGAATTTTCCCTGCTCACCACCACCACCACCAGGAAGCCTGCTGGGCCTTCACAGCCCAGGCTGGGTGCTTCTCATCTGTGCTTGTCTCATCCACCTGTAGGTCCTGAGCCTGTGAGTGTCAGGACCTGGTTCATCCTGCCCCATCACTGGGCCTGGCTGGAACGAGCACTCAGCTTTTTTGCTGAGAGAAGGAATGAGGCTAGAGGAAGCAGGTCTAGAGTGAGGGGTCACAGTGGTGTGGGTATTAGACCCTGGCAGTGGGCCGGGACCCCCTGAGGCTGGCACCTTGGTGTGTCATTGCTGCTGCTGTTGCTGGTACCATGCTCTTGGCCAACAGGGGGGTTCTGCGGAGAGTGGGCCACCCAAGACCACGCTGGCCCCATTAACCCAAAGGTTCCGCAAGGGGGTGAGTCTGTGTTTGCTGTCCCAGCCTCATGTGGAGGACTCCTTTCTTTCCTGGAGTCCCTGCACTGCTAATGCTCATCGTTTCACCTCCTGGCACTTTGGGAAGTCAGGGCACTTGCCAGCTGTGCTAAGGGACAGGATGGACCACACTTGGAGGGTTTCTTGCCAAGGGTTGGGGTCATGGCTGAGGGAGATTCTATGTCCCGTGGGGGCTGCAGTGTAGGCGATGCGATTGGAGCCCTCTGTGTCTGCAGTCCCCCTTAGGCCACACTCCATCCCCACCCCGGTGTGCGAAGGGATTACCTAGACAACCCTTGTGGGAACACGAGGAAGAGGTTTCTATGTCTGTGCAGCTGGGAGCCAGGCTTCTCACCCTCAGAAAAGACATTATAATTAGCAAGGGAGAAAGGCTATAATGAAGATTACTAGAGACAACGAGGGATACTACCTGAGGATAAAAGGGGAATGCAACGAGAAGTCATATTAAGCCAAAATGTGTATACACCTAAAGACAGTGCTTCAACATATGAAAGAAAAACTAGGATATGGATATATAAAAAAATCACAAGGATTCGGAAGTCAGCAAACACACAGAAGACCTGAACAACACCATCAACCAACTTGACCTAATTGACATTCACTGATATTCCATCCAACGAACAGCAGAAGACACATTATTTTCAAGCGCTCATTAAAATTGTTCTTGTTATTAGGTGCCTGCCTCTCTGGCTCATAGTGACCGTATCTACAACAGAACGAAACACTGCCCGGTCCTTCGCCATCCTCACAATCATCGTTATGCTTGAGCTCATTGTTGCAGCCACTGTGTCGATCCATCTCGTCCAGGGTCTTCCTCTTTTTTGCTGACCCTCTCTTTTATCAAGCATGATGTCCTTCTCCAGGGACTGGTACATCCTGATAACATGTTCAAAGTACATGAGACAAAGTCTTGTCATCCTTGCATCTAAGGAGCGTTCTGGCTGTACTTCTTCCAAGACGGATTTGTTCATTCTTATGGCATTCCATGGTATATTCAATATTCTTGGCCAACACCATAACTGAAAGGCATCACTTCTTCTTTGGTCTTCTACCTAATTTATTGTCCAGCTTTAGTATGCAGTTGAGGTGATTGAAAACACCATAGCTTGGGTCAGACACAACTTAGTTCTCAAGGTGACATCTTTGCTTTTTAACACCTTAAAGATGTCTTCTGCAGCACATTTGCCTGACAAAATATGTCTTTTGATTTCTTGACTGCTGCTTCCAGGGGCGTTGATTGTAGATCCAAATAAAATGAAATACTTGACAACTTCAGTATTTTCTGCATTTGTCATGATGTTGCTTATTGGTCCGTTGTGAGGATTTTTGTTTCTTTATGTTGAGGTGTAATCCATATTGAAGGCTGTAGTCTTTGATCCTCATCAGTAAGTGCTTCAAGTCTTCTTCACTTTCAGCAAGCAAGGTTGTGCCATTTACATATCACAGGCTGTTAATGAGTCTTTCTCCAATCCTGATGCCATGTTCTTCAGATAGTCCAGCTTCTCAGATTATTTGCTCAGCATACAGATTGAATAAGTATGATGAAAGCATATAACCCTGATGCATACCTTTCCTGATTTTAAACCATACGGTATCCCCTTGTTCTGTTCAAATGACTGCCTCTTGGTCTATGTAGAAGTTCCACACAAGCTCATTAAGTTGTTATCTGTCTGTATATATATATGTATATATATATATTCCTAGGTTTTAATACAAACCTTAATAACAGGTGATTAATTTAAAAATATTGCGATATATTTATACAATGGAATATTACTGTAAAAATGGCATGGGATTAGTGTCTGACCTCTTCCGACCCCACACGGTGGGAGGAGAATCAAGATCAACAGCCCAAGGCTGATTCCTATGAGACGGAGATCAGACATGCCTCCTTTCTCCGCCATCTGACACCAACCATCCCTCCCATGGCACTCTACTTCTCTGCTGGGTTTGATAATTCATTGCAATGGCCGTGCAGAACTCACAGACCATACTCACGATTATGGGGTTTATTAAAGAAATAACAGGTTACAATTCAGGCTCAGGAACCCCAAGGATACAGTTGTTCCATCAGCACAGCCTCTTCCTAGCCATGCTCACAGGCACACCTTTCCTTGGCCTTAAGTCTCTGCCCAAAGGCACTCAGGTTTCTCGCTTCCACTGTGCTTTTTCCTGTGGGTCTCTCCTGTTGGTCTGTCTTTCCTTGGTGGTGGTGGGGCTCTTCTCTTTCCTGCCTCTGGGGTGGCTCATTTCAAGCCCAGCAGGCTGGCAAAACTGACCAATCCCTTTGGTGGGCCACAGTTACCATATCTGCACAGTCCTGCCCAATCACTTCGGTGGAAGTTACAAGACCATGGCTAGAAAGGCCACACAAAAGTGATCTATGGCACAGCAATCACATAGTGACAAAGAACAAATTACTGCTATATGTAACAACATAGATAAAAATCTCACAGACATATTGAGTAGACGAAGTTGGACAACACGGAGTTCATACAATTTGATTCCAAGTATATGAAAACCAAGAACATACAAAACCTGTCTCTGGAGATAACAGAACACTGGTTACTTCCAAGGATTATATCAGCTGAGGAAGGAGCAACATCAACTGGGAATCTCAGAGGTGGTTTTATGAGTGTATATACGTATGTAGGAGCTCTGGTGGCACAGTGATTAAGAGGGCGGCTGCTAACCAAAAGGGCGGCAGTTTGAATCCACCAGCCGCTCCTTGGAAACCCTATGGGGTAGTTCTACCAGCCCTATAAAGTCACTAAGAGTCGGAATCGACTTTACGGCAACGTTTTTTTATTTTTTATTTTTGGTAAGTGTATTAGAAATCTTTGACTACAGAGATTCACGTTTAAGCTTATATACAAACTTAAGAAAATCTAGGTTTTTCTCCATAGCGGAAATAAGGACAAGAGTGGACAGAACCCAAGTCCAAGCGGAAGCCACTAAAAGCCGCGGTCACTGGGTGGACCCTCTGGGCGAGCTCACGGAACCCCTCCACTTGGGCACCAAAAGTCCCACAAACCGGAAGCGGAAGTGCGTGCCCACAGCTGGGCGGCCATGTTTGGTCGGCCTCCAGGTTCGGTATGAGGTATGTTTTATGTGTGTCGGGGCCCAGCCTGGCACAGTGGCAGGAGCAGCCCGCGGGGCTAAGGGCGCTACTCTAGTTCTCCTAGCGGTCCTGGCCTCTCCGCCCTCCCTGGGCTGCTCCAGACGCGCGACTTTCTGTAGCCGCGCTGTGCCCAGGACCTCCCGCCGCCGCCGTCTCCGGGAGCCCGGACCACCCCGCCCGTGTGCGCCTGGTCCGCGGCTGTTTTCTGCGCGTCTGGGATCGGGAAGGCCGAGTAGGTGAACTGGACCTGGGTCTCGGTGCAGTAACAGGTAAAGTCGTGTAAATCCTCGCTGAGCAAAAGCATGGTTCTCAGACCAGCAGCAGCTTCACCTGGGAGTTTGTGAGAAATGCGGAGTTCGATCCTCATCTAAGCCCAGAGTGGTTAGCATGAGTCTAAATGCCGTCTTCCCGCCTGCCCCATACTGTCGCTGACCATGCTTCTCTTGGTTTTCAGTGGTTCATCAAGGCAGGACTTTGAGTATTGCTGGTCATACATACAGTAAAATTGTGGCGAGGAATATCTCTCTCCCTCCTTTAATGGTTATAAGTCTTTAAGACAGATGAATTAAAAACCGTGAATTGGAACTAGTACGTGCATTTAGGACCATATCTTTCCCACTTTGGGAAGGAAAATGTGTAGTAAGAGGCATATTTCAAGGAATTTTTTTGGCTATGAGGCAGAAATTTTCGTCATGATTTTGTCAGAAACAATATGGCCAACCCTAATTAAAAAAAAATCAGTCGATTCTGGCTCATAGCGACCCTATAGGGCAGAAAAACTGCTTCGTAGAGTTTCCAGGGAGCGCCTGGTGGATTTGAACTGCCGACCTTTTGGTTTGCAGCCATAGCTCTTAACCACTATGCCACCAGGATTTCCTGACCCTAGTTGGTCAGATGTAAAATGTGATGTGGCTGAACATGCTTAATATAGGCCAGGAGCGATTTGTAGAGATCACATCCAGTGTTTTGCTAAGATCTTAAGGCTTGGCTGAGACAGGATCATTGTAGGAGTGGATGCTGTGATTCAAGGACAAGTTTTTTTTTTTTTTATTGTACTTCAGGTGAAGGCTTACAGAACAAATAGTTTCTCATGTAACAGTAGTACACATACTGTTTTATGACATTGGTTAACAACCCCACAACATGTCAACCATCTCCCTTCGCGACCTTTTTTTTTGGTGAAAATACACATAGCCAAAGATACACCATTTCAAAAATTTCTACATGCACAGTTCAGTGACACTGACTACGCTCTTCCAATTGTGCTGTTATTCTCACTTAAAATGAAGGCTTACAGAACAAAATAGTTTCTCATTTAACAGTTACTACAAATGTTGCCCTATGACAATGGTTAACAATCTCACAACACATCAACAATATCCTTACTCAACCTTGGGTTCCCTATCACCAGCTTCCTTGTCCCCTTCTGCCTTCTGGCCCTTGTCACTGGACTCCTGTACCTCGTTAGTCTCATTTGGTTTTACGGGGCTGTCCACTCCCAGGCTGAACAGTGAACCTCGGAGATAACTTCACCACTGAGCTAAAAGGGTGTCTGGGGGCCATTCAAGGACAAGTTTTGCTACCAAAGAGCCACATTTGTTAATAGGTTTAAGGTTTCTTGGAACAAATGCCCTGCATATTCCTAATGTCAGAGCAGTGAATATTGGGAATGAGGG